ACTCCAAAATTTGCTAATCCAAGAGTGTGTACAGAATGAGACATACTAATCAAAAACACACACTCCAAAATGAGTAATGACCACAGAAAGCACACATATATTAACATGTAATGGATATTCTCATCAAATCCAATATGCACCAAGGCTCACTCAAAAATTTCAAGCTTGCAAAACCATACTAAGAAAATCTTTTTGGGATTTGTTTTTAAAAAAAAATAAATAAAGCAAGACAAAAAAAAATGAACAAGCACACTTTTTTTTTTTTTTTCATTAAAATCAACACACAAAAACCCAAAAGCTAAAACAAAAAAACAAATTAACACAAGTCAAGTTTCCTCACCCAAATCTTTTTGATCTTAACAAAATTAGGTCTAGCGGTCTTGGTAAATGTCGTGGCATTGTGAACATCCACATGAATCTTGGTATTCTGCCTGGGCATATAAGGTTGTTTCCTAACCCAAAAAGTATTCGAATTTCTACCCTTTTGAGACACTTTCCCATGCAACTTATAACAGTAAGGGCGAATATGACCATGCATACCACAATGATGACAAGTAAAAACAGAGTATACCTTCTTTTCTTTTACCTTACCAACTCTAGGAAGTTTGAGAAGTCTATCCCTATATTGAATTTTTTGTTCTTCCTTTCCTTGAGTTCTTGTATCATGAGATGTTGAAGCACTCTGTTTTTGCTCTTTCTTACCACCAAAGCCAATGCCACTCTTGTCACAACTCATTTGTTGAGACCCAATGATATCCTCCAAAGTCTTTGATCCTTTGTTCCAAAGACCAACAGTAACCATGGCACACTTGAGTTCTTCCTCTTTCTCGATCATTAGTTCTTCCAAAGTAACTTGTGACATCTCGAGAGATTCAATCTTTTCTTCATACATGGCATGGGTTTGCAGCAGTTCATTCCTCTCTGTCTCACAAGTCAACAGTTTTGCACAAAGAACTTGTCGATCATCAGCTACCTTGATGGCATTAATTTTGGCCTCGAAAATCTCCTTCTTAAGTTTGACATTCTCACTTTCACATGCTTTGAGTTTCTTCGTGAGTTTGTCATTCAATTTGAATAAGTTAAGAGACTCCTTATACAACTTTTCATAAGCTTGCTCAAGCTCTTCATGATCACTCTCCGAGGATTCATCATCAGTGGTATTCTCAACTGACCTCTTCAAAGAATCTGTTTGTCCTTCAGCTTCGGAAGCCACCATGAAAGCAAGGAATTGTTTATGTCCCTCTTCACCTTGATCTTCATTGTCAGTTTCATCTTTATCAGATTCTAATTCATCATCCCAAGTGATAGCGAGTGCTTTCTTTTTCCTCAACCGAGTGGGGCATTCTTGAGCAAAGTGGCCAAATCCTTGGCATTCATAGCATTGGAGTCTTTCAGAGTTCCCTTGTATCTTTCATTTCTCCTTCTTGGCTATAGAATTAATTTTGAATTTATCTTTGCCTTTAGATTTATGAGAATGAGTAGATTCCAAAAGATTAGGATTCTTTTTCAAAAAAGATTTTTTAAATTGTTTAACAAAAGCAGTCGTAATCTTGGAATCTATCTCATAGTCTTCATCAGAATCCTCTCCAACTTTATGAGCACTACTAAAAGCAATATCTTTTTGATTCTGTTTGAAATTCCTGTGTGCCTCATAAGTTTGGAGATTTCCAACCAACTGATCCAGCTTGAGGTTGTCAACATCTTGAGCCTCCTCAATAGCCGTAACTTTTGGTTGGAACCGATCGGGCAAGGATCTCAAAATTTTTCCCACAACTTTGGATTCTGGAATTTTTTCACCTAAATTGAAGCTGGAATTTACAATGTCACTCAACTTCGCATAAAATTCATCAAAGGTCTCACTATCTTTCATTGAAAGGTTTTCGAAACTAGATGTGAGCCTTTGAAGTTTTGAGCGTTTAACAAAAGGAGTGCCCTCATGAATAGTTTGTAAAATATCCCAAGCCTCTTTTGCGACTTCACAATTACAAATACGACTAAATTCTTCAGGTGTGACAGCGCAAAAGAGAGAATTGATGGCTTTACTATTCCAGCTACTATTTTGGTAATCAATTGTGTCCCACTTATCAATTGGTTTGGGGATTGTAACTCCATCAACGGTAATTGTTGGTTCGGTCCACCCCTTCATGACGGATTGCCAAACTTTTTCATCAATAGATTTTAAAAAAGATCTCATCCGAGCTTTCCAAAAAGAATAATTGGATCCGTCAAGTAGGGGTGGTCGAACCATAGAATTTCCCTCACGAATTGAATCCATTATCACAAATCAAACAAGATCTCGTTCTAAAAGAATTTTTTTTAAAA